TTGCTAATGTTATTGTTAATATTGCTTGCCATAAGATGTTGAAGAAGAAGCCTAACCCAGCAGCTACATCAAGTTCATCATCTGCTGCAGTGGATTTATGTGTTAGCTCACTCGATGTATAAACAATGTACATTCATTCATCCATTGACTCTATTCTTGAGTATAAAGTTTTATGTTACAGACACAGTGTGTACATATGCAGTGTTACTATTCTCATTCATTAATTGGTGACAGTCCCTTGTTGTTTGTGTTATTATTATCTTATCCTTTAGTTGAGTTTATTGTTGTTATTATTCATATGATGTTCATAATAATGATAACAATCCATATGTAGTGAATTGAATAAAATGGATGTGTACAAAAACTTAGTTTACATCTACTTGTACTAGCAAGGGCAGTGTTATACTCAAGGGAAATTTTCTTTAGCTAAGTTATGTGTAGATGTATATATATTGAGTGATCTCTTAGTTAGTTAGTTCACTGTCTTATGATAGAAAGGATGGAAAGGAATTATACTTTTACTGGTGATTTCAGTCCTGAGGCAGTAGCAGGAGTTCTTAGTATTGAGATGATATTAGCTCTCATAGCTAATGGTGTTGTACTAGTCATTACTATTTATCAAAGGAAGTCTTGGAAACAATCATCAACAATATTCTTTACTTCTCTCATACTGGCACACCTTGTATTGACACTCTATCTTCCTTTCTTCATTGCTGCATTAGCTGCTGGTGAGTGGATCATTGGTAGTACTGATGGGGAGAAGAAAGCAACCTGTGATTTCAATGGTTTTATAATAATCCATTCTGGCTATGTGATGCTCATGACTCTAAGTCTTATATCAATCGATCGGTTCCTTTTTATTGTAAAGCCTCATCTCCACAAGCGGTTCATGAGTCCAAGGGTAGCTCTGGTCCTTGTCATTATTGTGTGGATAGTCACTGCTCTCTTTTTCTCTTTAGGATTCATCGATGGATCTGGTGTAGTATTCCGGTACATAGATAATGTAGGAGGTTGCTATGTGTATACTACCAGTCCTGTTACATCCATTATTCGTTATTTATTTGCTTCGTTAATATTTTGCACCATTGTAGTTACATCAATTTGGACGTTTTGTTTCACTCGTATGTTTATGAATAATCAGTCAATGATAGTAGGAGAGAGTGTCTATGCTTCAAAGAAGAAGAGGTTGTTTGGTATATTTGGGTCCATGATGGTAGTCTATTGTATATTCTTCACTCCTGCCATATTCTTTAGTGCATTATTGGCTATTGTTGATTCTCCTGGTGTCCTGTCTATGACTGCCCTTATATTCTTCTTCCTGGTCGTTGTCTTGAATCCAGTTGTCCAAGCTTACTTCAGGCCAGAGATCAATAGTGTTATTGTTAATATTGTTTGTTGTAAGATATTGAAAAAGAAACCTAACCCAGCAACTACATTAAGTACTTTTAATTCACTATCTGCTACACTGGAGTTTAGTGTTAGCTCACTTGATGTATAAACAATGTACATTCATTCATCCTTTGACTCTATTCTTGAGTATAAAGATTTTAATGTTACAGACGCCATGTGCATGTATGCATCCAGTATTACTATTGCTTATTCATTAATTTGTAAACTCCCTTCATCGTTTGTGTTATTATTATTCTTAACTTGAGTGTATTGTTATTTTTTCCAAAAAATGCTAACAACAATAGTTGATTTATAATGTTCATAATGGTGTTAGTGATAACAGTTAACCTTATACTCTACACATAGCTGCTTCCCAGCTCTTACAACCTTTATGACCTACATGTATATGCACACTGCATGTATATAATGAAGTACCTTAATATTTTGTTGACTATGGCAGAGTTTCTGCTTTGTATTTGTAAAAATATAATGAGAATGGTCTCTTTTATTATAGGATTCCATGTATTCAATCCATTCTATCAATCCTAAGTTCAAAGTCATTCTGTGATGCCTATACAGTGGATGCACTGGTACTGGTCATACTCCAGTTACTAACACTGGACTATCATTGGAAGGACCAGTATATGAGTCTATTGGATATTATAGCTACCAGTTATTTATCAGTGAACAATCAGACATTGTTTAGTGGCCTCTCTCTACTACTGAAAGGTTGGTACTGTGTTAGTGTAAAATTATACTGGCTTATCTTGCTCAATTATGATGCTGCCTTTGAAAATTTACTTTGCATTCACGGGATATTTCATTTTTCACTATAAAACACCAAATTATTGAAATTAAAAATAAAAAACGATAAAAGCTTGCAAGGTGCAAGTATATACACATGTAGCTTATTTTAGCTAACTAAAGCATGCATGTACATGTAGCTCAATGACCAAAAATTGTTATGGCCTAGTTTTGTATTGTAGAAAATTTGAGTGTTTAATGAAATTACATGTACATGTCCATGTAATTTATTTACAAAATAGTGACAGTCATGTATGCTTGTATAATATTCTAGGATGGTCAGTCCATTCTTCTCTTAGTTTGGATGAATTTGTTCAACTTCAAGAGAAGCTCATCTCACACCTTGCAGAGAGACTGGTTGCAATGGAAACCGACAGATTCAATCAAATGGTAAATTTAATGTCCTTATCTCATGAATAGTATTGATGTCCTTATGCTATGAAGGAAATTTGAGCTGATTCCAACTAAGATATTTTGAGTTACATGTACATGCATGAGTATTAAAAATGAGAATGTTATAGTGAAAAATATCCTTATACATGTATGCTTATAATCTCTCTTATAAAAAATGGCTCAAAAAATTACCTCCAATTTTAACTTCATACTTACATGTATATATACATTTTCAGATTGATATTTGATATCTTTATTCCTTATAGGTTGATGATCTCCTCTCATTATTATCCGACGATTTCACAATCTTTAACAACCAGTTGCTTCACTTTCTAATAATCCCACTGCTAGGCCATGCCCTTCAGATTCGAGGCCACGCCCTCCACCTTTCCCTTGCCCTCAAATTAGTGAAGTACCTTCAAAAATTCTCTTCAATTTTATCGTCTTCTCTGCCTTCAAACGTTCACCTAATGCCTGTTCTTAATGTCATACTCAGTCATGTGGTGCAGAAAAAAATGAAGTCTCTTATTGGAGGGTGCCACACCCACTTACTGCTCTGGCTAATTAATATTTTAATAGATTGTACTGTATCACCAACTGAACTACCACCAAGTCAGTGTACATGTACATGTATAAACATAATATACATGTATATTAATGTATACATGTACATAATTAATATGTACATGTACAGTGTACATTGCATGTAATTATGTTCAGGTAATACATTTACATGTACACATGTATTTCAACATACATGTGTACATGTACATGTACCATTTTAAATGCTTACAGTGTACATCTGCACATGCATACATGTACATGCACGTTAATGTTTGTATATACATTGTACCTTTGTTACTTTATCTCATGAATTATTCATTATTAGGTCTTTGGCTCCACCCACCAGTGCTAAGCCCCTCCCCCTCCTCCACTAATGACGAGAAATATTATTTCATTACTTTTATTCTGTTTTCGTTATTAACTGATTCAAGTGACTCTAAACTGACCACTCCAGTCACTGACCTCTCAAAGTCGTTACTCCAGAAATTATTTAAAGTACTACTTGATAATAATGTGTATTTTGGGATATTTTGTAGTGAATATTTTTACACAAATGCTGCTTCAAAATTGAAATTTTTTTTGTAATTTCCTTAAATTATTGATAACTGTGTACTTGCAATTTTCTTTAGGGTACCTGTATTTTTAGTAGCTTTATACAGCTACATGTACACATGTACATGTATTTACATGTAGCACATGTACCTGTTTTACATTTTTCATAAAAAAGATAGATTGACATACATACATGTGTACATGTACATATACTTACTATACTGTACATTCCATACGTTATTAATGGTACATACATGTATACATGTATTTGTACTTTAGGTTCATTTTCAAGGGCGTGGTTCTCTCCTTCGTTTCCTAGCGATGATATGGACCGCTCCCACTGACTCTAACAACACCAAGGGGGCCAGTAATGGACTACTCATCACTGAAGTGACTCAGGTCAGAGCTCTAAGGATAGCCAGGGCTTACCTTCACTCACTAGATCATGAGGCCACCATTGCTATGCTCTCAGCCTACTGTCCAGGTAGAAGCTATACTTAGTTCTTACATGTAACTATTGATTGTGGCTATTATACTACTATATAATTTTGAAGGCATGCAATGTACATGTACATGTATTTTTTTAATTTGCACATGTACATGTAAAGTTCACATTTGTAATATTAACAATAAAGGGATTGAATTATAGTTCCTACCTGTCCAGGTAGGAGCTATACTTAACAGTTAACACTATAAGAACTTTAATAAGATTAATAGATTCTTTTTTAAATGGTTTAAACACACGGTGAACTGTGGGGGACAACAAGGACTACTGGACAGTGTAGTAGCTGTTCTGAATTATTGTGGCCATACATACCATATTGTATGATTTTGAAGACATGCAAATGTACATGTACATGTACCGTAAATCCTTAAATAGAAGCCGCATTTGAATAAACGCCGGGGTAGCAATAGAATTAAACTATAAATACGCAACACTAGCCTAGGAGTGACTCAGTAGTCTAGTGGATAATGCCTGAAGTTCTAGAAGTCAAAAGCATGAGGTTACGGGTTCGAATCCCGCTCTGGGCTGACGTTTTTTTTATTTTTTATATATTTTTTCGAGATCCAAATACCATTTTAGGAAATAGACGCCCGGGCTTTTATTTAAGGAAATACGGTATGTATAATATATTGCACATGTACATGTGAAGTTCAAATTTGTATATTAACATTAAAAGGGTGTATGCTGAATCCTGGGGAGGCAAAGACATGCGTTTGTACATGTACGTTTCTCTGCACCTAAAATATACATGTACATGTACATATATACTGTATAATTTACTTTTCATAATAATCATTTTTTAATTTCTTCCCCTTTGCTTTTTCCCTCTCTCCAGTTGTGTCTTCACTATTGCTCCCATTGTCGAGTCCTAATACTCTCATTCGTAAAGGAGCCTATCACTGCATTGAAGCACTCTACAGCTCAGCCACTGTCTCACAACCAGAGGACAAACTAACCCAAATCTACTCCTCATGCCCTCTCCTTCATCTACTGGACTACCTCACCACATGTAAAGTATCAATAACTACCGATCCCATTGGACTCCAGTTAGTATTACAGTCACTCTATAGCAGTACTGAGGATGGGAATAGGAGGGGGACATTCCCTAGGCTGGCTCCGCCCGATGTTCCGCCGAGTGCTAAAAAGAGGCGTGGCAAAAAGGCGGAGTCTCTCGAGGAAGGGGAGAGGGTCCGTGAAGCGATTGTAGAGTCTTTATTGTTGATGATAGTTGGACTGGAGAGAGGACCTTTGTATATGATCAATCAGTTATTGAGTATACTATCAGGAGTTGATATTAAGGTAAGAAATACATGTACATGTACAAGTAACAGTACAATTGTATGTATGTGTACATTGTACTTTCTGAGAGTTTTATTTATACTTTTCTCTTTCTTCTTTTTGTCCTTTTCTCTCTGCACTTTATACTCCTTCCCTCTCCCTCTCTCCCTTTCTCTCTCTCTCTCTCTCTCAGTGTAAGTTAAGTGGGTTGTTGAAGCTGATGAAAGAGTTGATCCAGAAAGTGAAGGAACACGATGAACATACAATGGACACAAACAAAGAATGTAAACGACAATAATGCATGTACATGTACATATTAATGTGCAATTGTTGTGCATGCATTTACATAAATTATGTATCTAGTGTTTCAACTTTCAATGACAAGTACTGCACATTAATAGATTAAAATAATAATTAGTTCAACAAAGTGCTTGCCCCATTTCACATACACTTTCACATACACTTTAATGTACACATGTATGTATTGTTTTGAATTAATAATTCTATTTTATTCCTTTCTTTCTCCATTAGTTTCTTCCTACCCACTATCACCAATAGAGTCCCATTGTGTCCAGTCGTTAGTGCAGTGCTATACTCCAGTGGTTGCTTCATGGCTGGAGACTGAGCCTGATGCTTTTGAAGTGTTTCTCTCTCTCCTCTCATCATCCATTTCTCTATCACCCACTGTACCATCACTGGCTGCACTAGCAGTGAATCAGGTATGGACATGTACATGTACATAGTGGTGTGAATGTACACTGTATGTAGGTAATACATTGTATGTTGATTGGTATGGAGATATACATGTACATTTATGTGTACATATATGTATTGGTGTAAATGTATACATGTATGTGTTGGTTTATGTGGAGTAAAGGTATGTGTCATGTACATGTAATGAATATGTACATTTAGATGTACATGCATTTTGTGTACATTGTACATGTACATGTATACGGCTAATTAGTAACTACATGTATTATTGTATTGATTATAAACTTTGTATACTATATCCCAGTTCAGTTTGGGACGGAAGTGGAAGCAGCTGCGTGGAATTTGAAAAATGTAGCTACGTCACAAAAATGACATTTTAATGATATTCATAAAAGAATGGCGGCTGTGTTGTTTCACTCTTAAAACAGTCTTGCTGTTGCTGATAAGCAGTACAACAGCTACTGGAGTCAACTAGTCTTCATAAAGGTCATCATTATCAGAAGATCTTGCTCTGTTAGCTTTTTAAAACAAGAATTATCAGTTTGGGCGCTTGACCACATGTGCTTATGTAAACTATGATGTAGATAAACTGTCATAAAACGTCATTTTGGTATGCCATTGGGTTTATAGGGAGAACCCGGTTCTCAGGGTCCCCAAGAGCTGAGAGACCCAAGATTTCACAGATTTTGATGGACTTTGGCGACTAAGAACCTGTGAAAGTTTCATCCTTATCCCACATTCCTATAAAAAGTTATTCCAGTTTTTCTTGTCCCAAACTCAACTGGGATATAGTATACATGTACATCTATTTTTATTATTTCTTTCTTCTTTTTTTTCTCCTTTTCCTCTCTCCCTCTTTCCCCATCTCTTTCTTTCTTTCTCTCTCCCTCTCTCTCTCTATTCTCAGATCACTCCTCAGTTCTATTCATCTCTTTCCACTGTTCAGTCTCAGCAGTCAATACTTCATTCAGTTCTTAGTCTCATGATAGTCTCCAGTAGCTCAGGTCTTACACTGACTGCTAAACAATGTCTTCAACAAGTAATGATCATGATAATGTACTGTATGTACATACACGTACTTGTAGTATCTGTTGTCCCATTTAACATCCATTTCGCAATTTAATTTTGCAACAGATACATGTACATCTTACGTACATGTACATGTGAAATGACTTTGATTTAAAGTGAACCCTTTTCTTCAATCCCTTTCAGTCAATTATTGATATTATTTTTATTCTTTTCTTAGTTGCCTTTAAGTTCTGAGGTCTTGATAGCTGAACTGTTACTGGAGGAAGACAAACTAAAACCAAAAGAGATTGACTCATCTGCTGGCCCTGCCACTAAGAAAAGGTGAGGACTACATTGTATATTAAATGGTTAATGTCTGCCCTTCTATAATATTATCAATATGATGTACATAAGTACATAGAGTGGAGTTTACATAATAACCTGTAGATGTTGAGGGTTACTGTAAAAGTAATAATTACATACCGTATAAGTGGTTTTTTTTTTAGGGTTGCAAATTTCGCGAATTTCGTGGATTCCCTCGTGATTCGCGAAAATAAAATCCGCGAAAATCAATTTAATACGGTACCTGCATGGCACACATGGTAGAATTCGCGAAATTAAAATCTGCGAATTGGAATTTTAGCAGATTTCGCGAAATATAATTCCCTCCAAAAAAACCACTTATACGGTATGCACAAGCTGTTGGAAGCCAAAGTGTAAGTGTCTATAGTTTAACTACATCTGCTGCATAAAGTAGATTAAGTAGTGGTCATGCCTTTGATATAGTTTAATTACATTGTATATTCTTGAGTATTTTTTGCCGATTACTATGAAATGAAGAGTTTCATTTTAAGAGTTTCATTTTAAGAGTTTATTTTTATAAAGAGTTTCATTTTTTTAGTTTGTCCTCACTGCTTGCGCTTAACCTTTTTGGTTTCATAAAATTATAAATTATGTCTATTTTTGAAATGAATTGTATTATCAGCCATTAACTATACAAACTATTATGTTACTTTCTAGCACTATTAATTACTTGTACATAGTTAGTAGCTTTTCCAATCCAAAGCATTCCTCAAATTTAAAGTTCTTGGCGTCCCTTTAAGGCTCCATTAAATGGAGTTATGCTGGGTATAATAGTACCGACTTTCTTTATTGCAAAACGTATCACGTAGTCTTTACGTTTTTTATTTTCTTCAAGTGTTGTAACATATATTGGCTTATTAGTCGTGTAAGGTTTTTTAACATCTTCATAACAAGTATAGTGATGATTTTTTACTTTTAAGTTGGTACGATTTTTTGTAATTTCGTGGTATAATTTGCAGCGGGGGTGTCTGTATTTGTCATCCAAGCCACTACTTGAGAAGTAATAAGATGCGCCAACTGCTCTCAGTAGATCTGGACGGTTACACTGTTTACTGCCTGTCTCAGCATAGGCACCGTGGTGTGCAAGACGATATATATCTGCTTTAATTTCAGCTCCTGCACCTTGGAGAAAGGCATTTATCATTTTATCGTTTCCTTCTAAGTCACCAGAAATGAGCGTTGAAACTCCATTGTATGTTATCTTTGATACAATGCTGTCCTCATTTGGATGCTTTCCACATTTTCCCTGCTCTGAAGCAATGACTGTCAATGTGACGGACCGAGAGTCACAGAGTTTGAGTTCTCTATTGCACTTCTTTTTCCCTATACAATTTTTAATTCTTGTTAATTTGTTTGGTTTTGGTTTTTTTACTCCCTTATATTTGGTCCAATCACATGAATGGTATACTTTTGGGGTTTCTGTATGTCCTTCAAGTATAGAATCAATGAGGTTATAATGATCTGTATGAGGGTGAGTGAGGATAACATATTTAATGGTTGCTCCTTTAAGATAATGACCAAAAGCTTCTTTTTTGAAATGATTCTTTCTTGTGCCAGCGTCAATGATTGTGATGACTCCTTTCCCCTTAACTGTCCTAGTTTTGGGACACTGTATCACAGTGCAGTCTCCCTGTCCAACTGGTAGAGCATATATATTGAGATTGTCATCTGCATCAGGTAGTTGGGGGGAGCATAGTGACACGTGTATAACTAGCCCAGCGATAAAAAGATACACACTTAGTAAGTTAAAGGACATCTTGTCCCTACACAATTGGCAATGATCGATAGCAGTACCTTAAATCAGCAATATCTATAACATTTCAGTGAAACATGATATACAGTGTAGTCTCGATAATTTATCTTACATCCAATCCTCTTTGCTCTAAAGACTTCTTCTCAGTAGAAGCAAGTTTGTTAGACTGTTGAGGTTCACCTTCAATTGTCCAGTATAGAATGCTTAGCTTTGATGATAAGATTATCCTTAGTGTTTACTGGATACTCACAAGCTTATACTGAAACTGACTGAGGTTGTTTACATTTGAAGTCCTTCTCATCCACCCTCCAGTGTAATATGACTCATGAAACACATTAAGTGAATTGAATTCACATCCTTTCTTGTACATGTACTCTGTTACCATTGAATAGACTACAAGGATAGATGAAGATGAAAATTTTATTAGTTTTTGTGATCAGCATGCTTGCATTACATTATGTATAGGAACTTTTACTTTATTAGAGCTCATATTCTTAAGTATTTTTGCTGATTACTATGAAATAAAGAGTTTTATTTTAAAGAATTACTTTTTAATTTGTCTTGACTGCTTGTGCTTATTTTTTGATGTCAAAAAATTTAAATTATGTCTATTTTCAAAATTTATTATCAGCGATTAACTATTAAAACTTTCAGCACTATTTATTACATGTACATAGTTAGTAGCTTTTTTAAAATCCAAAGTGTTTCTCAAATTTAAAATTCTTGGCGTCTCTTTGAGGCTCCATTAAATGGAGTTATGCTGGGTACAATAGTACCGTCTTTCTTTATTGCAAAACGTATCACGTAGTCTTTACGAGTTTCATTTTCTTCAAGTGTTGTAACATATATTGGCTTATTAGTTGTAGTTGTGTGAGGTTCTTTAGTACCATCATCTTCATAGCAAGTATAGGGGTGGTAATCTACTTGTAAGTCGGTATAATCATTATCTCTTATTTCACGGTATAATTTGCAGCGTGGGTGTCTGTATCCTTCATGCAATCCACTGCTTGAGAAGTAATAAGATGCGCCAACTGCTCTCAGTAGATCTCGGCGGTTACACTGTTTACTGCCTGTCTCAGCATAGGCACCATGGTGGGCAAGACGATATATATCTGCTTTAATTTCAGCTCCTGCACCTTGGAGAAAGGCATTTATCTTTTTATTGCTTCCTTCTAAGTCACCAGGAAAGAGTGCTGAAACTCCATTGTATGTTATCTTTGATACAATGCTGTCCTCATTTGGATGCTTTCCACATCCTCCCAGCTCTGAAGCAATGACGGTCAAAGAGACAGAGTCACAGAGTGTGATTTTTGTATTGCATGAAGTAGCTCCCAAGCAATATTCTATCTTTGATGATTGATATGAATTTAGTGCTTCTACAAATTTATTCCTGTGCTTGTACCTTTGCACGTACCTTTGCCGATCACACGAATGATATATGTGTAAACTTTCTCCATGTCCTTCAAGTATAGGATCAATGAGATTAAAATGATCATTATGAGGATGAGTGAGGATGACATACTTAATGTTTGCTTCTCTAAGGTAATTATGGAAAGCTTCGTCTTTAAAACGTTTCTTATTTGATCCAGCATCAATGATAGTGACGTCTCCTTTTCCATTATCTGTGCTAGTTTTGGGACACTGTATCACAGTGCAGTCTCCCTGTCCAACTGGTAGAGCGTATATATTGAGATTATCATCTGCTGGAGGTAGTTCAGAGTAGCATAGTGACATATGTATAACTAGTCCAGCAATAAAAAGATACACACTTAGTAAGTTAGAGGACATCTTGTTTCTTTAAGCCTAGTTCAGTATAGTTGTGGCTGTGGTATAAATTCTGTGGTTAGCATAGAGATAGACCTGATTTCTATCTCCATGATTGTTGCAACAGTGTAGTAAGGCTGTGATATGGAGACCATGCCTTAGCTTTGATGATAAGATTATCCTTAAGGTTGATTCACATTGCATAATTAACTTAAGTTAAGGCTATACATTAAGACAGGAAGTGCTATACAAACCAATGGGCACCGTTTATAAGGTAAGAACAGACATAATCTCTATTCTTACCTTACGTAAATGGTGCCCATTGGTTTATACAGCACTTATAGCCTTACCTTACGTTTATCGTGCAGTGTGAATCAGCCTTTAGTGTGTACTGTATACTCTTAAGCCTATACTGAAACTGACTGAGGTTGTTTACATTTGAAGTCCTTCACATCCACCCTCCAGTGTAATGTGACTCATGAAACACATTAAGTGAATTGAATTCACATCCTTTCTTGTACATGTACTCTGTTACCATTGAATAGTATGACAAGGATAGACGAAGATGAAAATTTTATTAATTTTTGTGATCAGCACGCTTGCATTACATTATGTATAGGAACTTTACTTTGTTGGAGCTCTAATACAATGTTATAGTGACTGGTATGTGTATTACTAGCACCTGCTTGTAGTACAATCACTTGTTTAGCCTCATGGTTATTGTTACTAATATTCATGAGTACTGAATATGGCTAAACTTAAAATTCAATTTTTAGGAAATCCAAATCTCATTCTATCAAGGCGGACGATGGTCCCAAGGGTGACGCCCTGTTACCGTGGAAACGAGTGACAGCTCTACTTGAAGTGATGACGGTCCTTAGCGAGAGGATGGGGACGGAGTCACACGCGATGGTCCCGCCCCTTTTTTTGTTCCTATTGTGGTCGTTTGAAGCACGAGAGACGAGTAAAGAAGACTCTTTGGACTATACACAACAACTGGTTCTCTCCAACCTACTCAAGATATACAATATACTGGGGGACAAGGGTTGTAGAGGTATGGGCTAATTTACTCGAATATACTGAAAGTATACTGAGGATGGATAAGATGCATAGTATACTAAAAGACAAATGGGTTAATTTACTGAGTTTTACTGAAAATGTATGCATGTACTAAGGGTATTTTTCACACATTTAATATTTGTCTTGGTACATTACTTTACATGTATAAAGTATAATTATTTATGTGCTACTTGTAAAATTTCTTACATGTACATGTACTTTAAAAAAATACATTGTATCATTAATATGTAACATTTTTCATTCAATTAGAGTTGCTTCCTGAAGAGTCTTTCAATGTTGAGCAAGTGGTTCAGTGTCTCCGTCACTCGTTAAACCCTCAGACTCAGCACCTCTCGCTATTACTGCTATCAACCACTGCCAGTATATACCCAGTGAGCTAGCACATTTATTATTGTTAATACATCATTCATTATTATTATTATTTATACTTTAATTTTTATAATTGTATAATTACTAGTGTAATTAAATATGATTTATTATTATTATTATTATTATTATTATTATTATGTTCTACACTACTACTTATAAATATGTATAATAGTGGTAAATTTTTAATATCTTTGTGAATTTTTTTGCATTTCTGTAAAAATTTTATACCTAGTATTTTTTTATTTAAAAATTTTTAAGGACCGTATCCTTCATAATTTGATGCCAGTTTTTGCCTTCATGGGATCCAGTCTCCTCCGTCAAGATGATTCTTATACCTTTGATGTCATCAATAAAACTTTGGAGAGCATCGTACCAACATTAGTAAAGGTAATTACAATGGTCTCAGGTCAAATTTTTCTAAAATGAAAAGGAGAGAATTCTGCATTTTTATAATTTTTCCTGATGCATATACATCTCCTTATGTTGTGTAGAAAGTTTGAATTGATTCTGACCAAATTTGGATTTTTACGATTTTTTAAAGCTACTCCAAATGCCATGTACTGTACATGTAGTACTTCTCCACTCATGAAGCAGTATGCTTTGGGAAAATCTTGATTAACTATATATAACGTTTACACTCTTTGTTTCACATTGTCTCTGTTTCTCTCTCCCTCCCTCCCTCTCTTTCTGTTTGTTAGTCTAATTTCTCTTCTTATTCTACAAAGAAGACAAAAAGGCAGTCACTCTCTGCAGTAAAGCAGGGCAGTGCCAATCCCCTCCACTGGTCTATGGCTGAAGTCCTAAGAGTATTCATTGATGCAGTTCCTCATGTTCCTGATCATCGTCGCCTCCCCCTACTCTCTCATCTCATTCGTATAACCACTCCTTCTCATTCACTGTATCTTGCTATTGGGTTAATGATTGAGAAAGCTACCATACATCATGGAATGGATAGTCTACCAATGGTTAGTGAGGGGGGGCTATTGTAATTAATTGTGTGGGCGTGTGTGGTTTTTTTAATCATTAAATTTGGTTCTCAACACAATCACAATGTACATTGTATTAATTATGAAAAGCATTTTACTGTCAACCTATTAATAATTGCGCTCAATGAATTATAACCTTTTTGCTTAATTTGTTTAAGTTAATGGATGTAAATATGCAGCTAACGGATTGCTTGGTTACCTTAGTTGTAAAAATTGTTAAAATTAATGGACATTAGTATACCCACCACTGCAATAACGCGAAACATAAAGTTTGTTAATATATTTGGATTTACAGTACCCAATGTATATAATAATAATTTTATATGTAATTTGGCAAAAATTATCAACTAAGTTTATTTAAGGTGGTCATGCAGTCCCAGTGTTTTTCTTGCACAGCTCTCTTTTTATTCCTCTTAGCGTCTCATGAAAATATCGACTCATAGTAAATGTAGTTTGTGGCCTCTTAATCTCTTTCTCTGGTACTCTATAATGCTGTGATACTCCATCACTGACACTCACACCAAATTTTCTACTAAAACCTTTCAATGGGACATTAACCCTGTGTATCCAAGCACTGATAACTGCTCTAGGTCTCACTATTATCTTATTAAAGTATTCTGGTGTTTTAAAAGAGCTCCTAGCAGTAAAAGTATAGTAACGTGGTAATTCCATTCCAGGGCAGTCCTGTAATATTGAGGTGTTACTCAGTTCTGGTAGCATCCTCTCTCTTTTGTGAAAATAAATATTATGGAATGTGAAGCTTGATGCCCTGCGAGCCATTCTCCCCCGAAAGAAGCTATTCTCAAACCCTTTGATCATCTCGGGTATGGTCTTGACTTTTTGTGGGACAAAGAATTCGTCAAGGTCGCTAAGCCCAAGGTACTTGACCCGATACATGTTCCTGTATATGCATTCTGTGATGACTCCGTTCTGTCCCCATGCTTTAGTATACCCTGGTATGATAGGTGGCTTAAGTCCCCAGTCTAATACCTCAACAACCCCTTTCTTTATATAAGGTATCATTAGCGTGTAGTAGGTCTCTGATATATAGTCATTTTGAAGGTATACTGTCATGATTTCTGCTCCTAGCGCTATGTTTAGCTCAACCCAATGTACTAGCATTTCGGGCTGGGTCAAGTTGTAGAGGCTCTGGTGTATACAGAGGCCATAAGTGTAATTCTTTTCCGTTTTATTATCTTTGATGGGTATGTAGTCGGAGAGGTCGTTGCAGTGTTTATGAGTTGATATTTGTGCAAAAATCGGTTCTTCGTTCACACTGCCGGGAGTTCGTAGTATGTAGTTGTTGTATATCTCTTTAAACCGTTTTCTAGTGTGTCTCTCTCCATTGTGGGTCCAGTACTCTAATTGGAAGCATCTAGCCGAGTGAGTCTTGAATGTGATAAGGGCATATAGTTTCGTGAGGTTCCTATAATCGTGATCCTTATCTCTCAGTGAAGGTAGATCTAGTCTATCGTCATACATACAGTTGAAGACGACACTGTGATGAGAGGGATCTCTAGTATCATGGAATGCTAGTCTCCTTATCTGCAATGGGTCAATGATATTGTCAATGGATTAAAAGATAACGATATTACTGTCAAAAATATGATATGGTAATAAATAAAAAAAATAATGATATTAATAAATAATAATATTGTCAATAAAATTAATGATACTGTCAATAAAATAATAATATTTTCTATCATCTTACTATTATTTTGTTGTCGACTATCTTTACCCACATGTTCTGCGGTTTATTTGGATGCTCTAGAGTGTACTTCTCTCTCTTTGCGTAGAATAGTTTGACTCCCTCGGTATTATTGTACTCTATGCTAATGTATTCCTATGCAATATATGTACATTATCAATGAGGTATGTCACTGAGTTAATGTGACCACAAAATATCCACCCAAAGTAAAACTAAGATATGATATTGAGGATTTGGATTTCAATTAATTTAGTTAATTAATTCCAATATTTCTTAATTAAACTAAAAAATTTTTATTCATAATCACTACTGATGATGTGAGCTACATTGAAATACTCGTGTAAGCTACAATGTTGTGCTCACCCATTATTCTGCTAATCACTAGCTATACTCACCTGTTGACTGTTCTTTGTCAGTATTTCTGAGACACACCATAGGGCACTCACTAACAGGATGGTGTATACTATTCCTCTGATGACTAACTTATTGAGTTTCCTCATCTGTACTGAGATTAGTTTATGACTAAAGTCCAACTGATTGTATTGCAGGTATATACCTGATACACAGCTTCCTTTTTGAATTATCTCTAAGAAAATCTCTCCTCCTAGGAGAGTTGATTGTGTGCTGGTAGTATACTAGTGTAGGCTCCAAAGAATTCTGAATTAATGATTAAGTAGCATACCAGCAGTGAGAGAAACAGACATCTATACATGTATTGTTGAGAAAGACACTGACCTGAGCAGACTTCTTCCTTACTCAATTAGCCATTAAGCCAAACCCAGACCACTCCCTCTTTTGGGTTTGGCTTGGGAGACTAATAATGAACATACTTAGAGGTTATCTGTGTTCATCCATTTCCCCACTCTCTCTCTCTCTCTCTCTCTCTTTCATCTTAAGCCCAATATACACTGCAGGCAGCATGTTGCCAGCCTTTGATCTTCATTACAGCTTTGTTGAAAGGTTTTCTATTCAAGACAACATGTCAGTTGCTTGACCATATCAAAACATGACCAAAGGCTAGGCAAATGTTAAAAGCAACATTGTTGAATGTAACATCTAGAACATTCTGTCAGATGTTTCATTAATATGTTTATTACTTGTTTTACTGTCAATGCAAAGAAAGAATGATTAGTGATGATCTTTTTATGTAGCCACCTCAATGATTAATCAGTGGAAAATACAACCAAGTGCAGATGCTTTTGTTTTTTTTTTGGGAAAAATTGTATGTTTTTGTTGATAGTTTATTGCAATTAATTCAGACAAAATCTAAATAAAGAGTGATTTTTTAGTGTAGCTCAAGACAGTATAGTATCTTGACTCTTCATTATCATAATAGTCTCAATGATTATCTCAACATTTGTTTGCCTTTGCATTATATTCTCTCAAGTTAATGCTCAGTCAAATACATTTGGTCATTGCAAGGAAGAGGTATGCTGTAACCAGCAGGCAAACCCACTGCTGACTTCTTGCAAAGACATCAAAAGGAAATGGAGCGATGGTCCTACTGGATACTATCAGCTTAGTAGTACTAAGAGAGGTCCTGTATCAGTGTATTGTAATATGGATGAGCTGTGTGGCTCTAGAGGAGGATGGACAAGACTTGGATATCTTAATATGGCTGATCCTAGTGAAAGCTGTCCTTCTGGATTTAGACTGTACCAGTCAGGAGGAGTTAGAGCTTGTGGCAGGCAGAACTCTAGTGTAGGTAGCTGTGTAGCATTGAAGCTATTAGCTGATGATATCAGTTACTCTCAAGTATGTGGTAGAGTAGTGGGATATCAATATGTGTCACCTGATGCTGCTGATTCTATTATTAGTAGTATTGGCCCTCATAATGATATTAATTCTTATTATGTTGATGGTGTTAGTATCACTCGTGGGTCTCCTCGTCAACATGTCTGGACACTAATGGCTGGAGTGACTGAAGCTAGTATAAGGTATGATGGCCGTTACAATTGTCCTTGTTTTCAAGGTAGTACTCAAAACTCAACTCTTCAGTCTTTCATTGGTAATGACTACTTCTGTGAATCTGGTAATCGTGCTACTGATGGTGGGGTTCAATCCATATTTTATACATCTGATCCATTGTGGGATGGTAAAGGATGTGGTAGTCTTGAAGGTACTTGTTGTGCTGCTCCTGGTCTTCCATGGTTTCACAAGAAACTTAACACTACCACTACTGACTACCTTGAGCTGAGGGTGTGTGGAGATGAAGGAACAAACAACGAAGACACTCCTATCAGCTTTTATGAAATTTATGTCAAATGAAGTCATTTATATTGTTTACACTTTAGTCTTTAGCAACTATCCATTTATAGACACACTTACTATGGTTAGTTTTTAAGATAATACAGTTATTTTGTGAATTGATTGTAATAGTAATTGTTTAATGTTATTCCATTCCTACAAGGAAGCAGTAAGTGCATGCAGAGCATTATTGTCTCCATCCTGTTTTGATGAACAACCATACAACCTGTTACAGCATTTGTTGTGTATTTGTACTCTCAGCATGCAGGCCATATTTATGATTAGAGTCAGTAGCATTAAGTTTACAGTTTGTCTTGCAGAGAATTGTATTCCTGGAGACATATGCTGATAATGTGATTATTGCTTGTTTTACTGTCAATGCAAAGAAAGAATGATTGGTGTTGCTCTTTTTATGTAACCGCCTTAATGATTAATCAGTGGAAAAAACAGCCAAGTGCAGATGTTTTTTGTTTTAATTGGGAAAAATAATTGTACGTTCCTTTGTACAGTTATAATTTAGACAAAATGTATATAAAGGGTCGGACACTTTAAATCACTTAGTGAAGACAAATATAGTACATGAAAGCAATATCTTGACTCTTCATTATCAAAATGGTCTCAATGATTATCTCAACATTTGTTTGTCTTTGTATTATTTTCTCTCAAGTTAATGCTCATTCAAATACATTTGGTCATTGCAAGGAAGATGTATGCTGCATGAGACAGGAAACCCCACTGCTGACTTCTTGCAAAGACATCAAAAGGAAATGGTGTGACAGTCCTTCAGGATACTATCAGCTTGGTACTAAGAGAGGTCCTGTATCCGTGTATTGTAATATGGATGAACTGTGTGGCTCTAGAGGAGGATGGACAAGACTTGGATATCATAATATGGCTGATCCTAATGAGAGCTGTCCTTCTGGATTTAGACTGTACCAGTCAGGAGGAGTTAGAGCTTGTGGCAGGCAGAACTCTAGTGTAGGTAGCTGTGTATCATTGAAGCTATTAGCTGATGATATCAGTTACTCTCAAGTATGTGGTAGAGTAGTGGGATATCAATATGCATCAAATGATGCAGTTCAGCATGTCAGTGGACACCATTATAATATTGACTCATACTATGTTGATGGAGTTAGTGTTACACATGGATATCCCCGCCAACATGTCTGGACACTAATGGCTGGATTATTTGAAGCTAGTAGACGTTATGATGGCATTTACAACTGTCCTTGTTCTCAAGGTAGTCCTCAAAACTCAACTCTTCAGTCTTTCATTGGTAATGACTACTTTTGTGAATCTGGTAATCCTGCTACTGATGGTACATGGCAATCCAAACTCTATACATCTGATCCATTGTGGGATGGTAAAGGATGTGGTAGTATTGAAGGTACTTGTTGTGCTGCTCCTGGTCTTCCATGGTTTCACAAGAAACTTAACACTACCACTACTGACTACCTTGAGCTGAGGGTGTGTGGAGACTATGGTACAGGAGATGAAGATACTCCTATCAACTTTTATGAAATTTATGTCAAATAAAGTGGAACCGTTAAAACTTTTGCTGCCATTTAACTTGTCATTATTATTATTTACACTTTAGTCTTTAGCAGCCATTCATTCATACACACACTTAGCATGGTTAGTTTGAAGATTATACAGTTATTTTGTTAATTGATTGTAGTAGCAGTTGTTTAATGTTATTCCATTCCTAAAAGGAAGCACTAAGTGCATGCAGGGCATTGTCTCTTATCCTGTCTTGATGAACAGCCATTCAACCTGTTTTGGTATTGTTGTGTACTTGTGCTTAGCATGCAGGGCATCTTTATCATTAGAGTGTAGCATTAAAGCCCAACATACACTGAGCAACTTTGTTGCCAGTACCTTTGATGTGGTGAGGAAACTTGATGCCAGAAGTTGAGTCTCTCTACTTTCTGCAACATGTTGCCCAGTGTTGCTCAACCACATCAAAGGTTTGACCACAAGTTGCCAGCAACAAAGTTGCTCAGTGTATGTTGGGCTTAAGTTTACTTACTGTTTGTCTTGCAGAAAAGTGTATCCCTGGCAACATATGCTGATAATGGGTTTTTGCTTGTTTTACTGTCAATACATTTGTGATGCTCTTTTTATGTAATTGTCTCTATGATTAATTACAACCAAGTGCAGATGCTTTTGTTTTTATTAGGGTTTCGTTGATAGCTTATTGCAATTATTCAGACAAAGTCTAATGAAAGAGTGATTAGCACAGGACAGTATAGTATCTTGACTCTTCATTATCATAATGGTGTCAATGATTATCCCAACATTTGTTTGTCTTTGTATTATATTCTCTCAAGTTAATGCTCAGTCAAATACATTTGGTCATTGCAAGGAAGAGGTATGCTGTAACCAGCAGGCAAACCCACTGCTGACTTC